TTATTCTGGTGCTCTGTTTGCTGTAGCTATCACTGATGATTGCAGTCCACAAGTGTCTATCAGCATGTCTGCCATCTCACCAATGGCTTGTAGTCCAATATTATTTGATACAAGCAGCAGAGTCCGGATGTGCTGTGGAAGTCTGTGCAACCAAAGTTTGTGGATGATGTCCTCACTGATTTATTGTGTATTTAGTATTGTGTTTGTCTTTGGTTGGCAGCTTTCGCAGCACATTGCTCACCAGGTGTAACAAAGCACGCAATACTGCCGTATACTTCGTGTCGTCGCTCCTGATTCTATCTCCTTGAAACTCTGCTTCAATCAACAAAAACCACATTTGAGGAGAGTCTTCCATCAACGGGGTTACCGTATGCCTGTCCACGTTGAAAACCTGTTCAGATTTTAAGATATGGTTCTCTTTTGTGTTAGAGTTATTCCCACTTGGCGTGCGAACTTCAGCTTCGTCCAGATCGATGAGCGATTTGTTCAAATCTTGCCAAGCTATAAACAAAAGATGATTGTGATTACTTAGATAACTTTTGTTTTATTAATTATGGCTAGATGCCAGGGAACGCCATAGATATAGTTATAGTTGGAGTTTGTACCTATTGTTTTGGTTAAAGAAATGAATTTCTTGCAGAAAATGAATCTAGTGGGATTTTGATGTTTTGGTTTTTTAATTTGTTGTAAACTGTTTTCTAAATTACTGATAATCTTTATGAAATTAAAATTGCGAGTATTGTTAGGGACTGCGAAATTTGGACTCAGTGCAAAAATGTATTGCAATCTTTCAGGAATCTCTACGCTGGAAAAATTCTTTAATCATTTGTTAATTGTATTATCGTCTAATACAATTTTCGTTGTTTCTAATTTAGTTTGGTATAATTTGTCGAATTTTCTTCTATTTCTAAGAGTTTTTAAGTTTTGATGATAGTTCATCATTTGTAATGTCTTCGAAATATAGAAAATTATTTAAGATTTCAGTTTGAACAACCTTTGACAGCCTATTCGTTATTCGTTCAACAATAATTTTCAAATTATTTTATATATATACATATATATATATATATATATATATATATATATATATCTTGATAGTTTTTTCGACGTTGAAACATATTTCAAAGTAACTGGCAGCCCATTCGTCGAAATAAAAAAGGTATAAAGTATAAAAACTTTTATTTATACGTTTCGACACAAGATGCGTGTCATCATTCAGCAACTACAACAATTTGAAAATTTTATTAACTAATATAAACAACAATAAAAATTAATTATAGCATAGAGAAACATTATACACACCACAGGACAAAAACACTCAACAAAAATTTATTTTAAAAAATTAAACTTAATAACATATTAGAAAAAACATTTTTTAGAAAAAAATTATGTATAACTAAAAGTTATACAAACTTATAAAGTTATACAAAGTTATAAAAACTTTTAGTTATACATAATTTTTTTCTAAAAAATGTTTTTTCTAATATGTTATTAAGTTTAATTTTTTAAAATAAATTTTTGTTGAGTGTTTTTGTCCTGTGGTGTGTATAATGTTTCTCTATGCTATAATTAATTTTTATTGTTGTTTATATTAGTTAATAAAATTTTCAAATTGTTGTAGTTGCTGAATGATGACACGCATCTTGTGTCGAAACGTATAAATAAAAGTTTTTATACTTTATACCTTTTTTATTTCGACGAATGGGCTGCCAGTTACTTTGAAATATATATATATATATATATATATATATATATATATATATATATGTAGTGTGTGTGTGTACAAGTATTAAACTAAGAACATTTTGATTGAAATTCATATTAACTTTTTCTTTCTTTATTAATACTTTCTATATCATGAGCCATCGGATCTGGGACATTTACCATATCTTCCTCTATTTCCTTGGTGAAATCTCCTGGGTCCCATATAATTATTATGCCAGAAATTTGGATCCCAAAATCTAGGTGGTGCATTTATCCTTAGTGGGTTAGAATGCATCTAAGTAAAAGCGTAGCGTTAGTGGATAAAGTCCAGATTTTAAGGGTTGAATAATGAGAAAATATTGGTCTGCTCTGGTTTTACTTTCCTACTCGCGGCTCCGATACAAAAGAGCCGCGAGTGGTAAATGTTATCTGGTATTCTCGACAAAAAAATCTATATTCTTGGCGAAAATTTACAAAATAATTGATAGAATATGAAATAACATAACCTGTATTGTTAGTATCTAGAAAAAATCGTAACATTTTCGATTTTTTTTTTCAATTTGGACGTTAAGGAACGTGCAAGTAGACTGGGATCCCACTCAAAGTGAATCCATCTTAAACACATTCCACATTCTTGCCAAGATGTGCTGGATGGTATTAATTCCGCATTACAGTTGATTTTGCAACTAATAAATGAGTCTTAAGAATTTCTTGCATGTCTATACCATGTATCGCACTTAAAACATTAATAATATGTCGGTCGGTCTGTCGGGAGGGCTATCTGAACTGCTACAAATTGGACAGATTTCATCGACCGGTGAAATATTTTTTAAGAAATATTATACAAAACTTTATCTGGTTTCGATAGGATCCATTTTCCACAACTATGATTATCAGTTTGTTTAGGGAAATTTTTTGTATACTTACTCCATTTCATTTGTTTTCCAACAGTTAATTATTGCAAAAATTTTTAAAAATAATAGACTCGGTCATTTTATTGGGAATAGAATTGATTACGCTGAATTGTTTTGTACTAGTATCTATTAAGACTAAAATCCAATGAGAATATAAATTATATGGTGCTGAATATTATATAACTCATGATATATTTACAACGCTGTTACTATGTTTATCTACTAGGCGACTAGGCCAATACTATAGTCATTCCCGCCGAGAATTTTAAATTGTTCTTCAGTACATTCAAGCGATGCTAAATAAGAATCAATAATTATATCATCTAACCACTTTTTATCTATTGCCGCATGATTAGGATGCGTGCCTATTGAAAGCTCTGAGTCAGATTTGGAACTCTTTTGGCTTGTCAAACATCTATTTGAGGGGTATTAAAATAAGACTCTACAGCAGGATTTGAATGCTAATGTGATCTCTCATTGTCGAGCATCAACTCAGACCACAGTGGCAAACTTAGGATATACCTGTTCATTATATAATTAGAAAACCCGTACAGTAAAAATGGATTTGATAACATTCAATTAATAATTCAATTTGTTCTTTAGTCCACTTCTCCATTTTTCCTTGTATTTCACACACGTACCGAGATTTATACGGTGTTATTTTCTCTAAAGAAGGATTTTTGGTTCTTTCCAACCAAATTGAGAACATCTATAACATTCAAAAACATATTAATTTGCTACCACAGTTTAGTTATTACATATATTAATGTTTTCGTACCTTATCATTTCTCGCCGGAAATACGTGCATTTTAGCATTATTTTTTGTGTTCCTGCACCTATTACAATGATACGGTGTTATTTTCTCTAAAGAAGGATTTTTGGTTCTTTCTAACCAAATTGAGAACATCTATAACATTCAAAAACATATTAATTTGCTACCAAAGTTTGGTTATTATATTAATGTTTTCGTACCTTATCATTTCTCGCCGGAAATACGTGCATTTTAGCATTATTTTTTGTGTTCCTGCACCGTGGTACACTAGACTTCGACATTATACTTGCTTAATTCAAATTTGACTAAAAAACACAAATCTCTCGTAACACAACTATCTTCAACGAACCAACGAACTACGAACGAACTCAACTTCGATTACGTTCTCGAACATTCTCGTATTGCCCTTGTACAACGTCTTACCTGATGCGTGCAAAATTGTTTCAAAGAGAGATAATTGCGCTCCAATCGAGGGAGACGGAATTAAAAACAAGATTACAGATGTTTGTTCGGAGATTACCGGCCATGGTTGGTTCAGTTAATTCATCTACAATAAAATCAATATTTTCAAGGTCGTTTTCGTGAATATCTAGATATTTTTGATCTACCTGCACGTTATATTTTAGATATAAGGGTGTCGTTATTAAATATTTCAATGCATCACATATTAAGCCCGGTCGTACTGATTTGAACATATAATCGCTTTTATGACTAACATTTCGTTTTAATTTAATTTGAATGGTTTTCCTTTGATTAATTTAATCAAGGAACCTTGGCGAAACATTTAAAATATTATTAATTTGTATTGAAATATTAACTACGCTACCCTTTAAACCTAATTGGGGATTTGAAGCATAAGGCTTCAGGGCTTGAATTTGCATAAAATTTATTATATGTGCTATCATTCTTTCCTCCAAATCGATTAATTGTTTTAAACATTCGGGTATATTTTGAAATTTCAAATCATTGATTGTTGCTAATTTATAAATCTTACCACGATTTGCATATTTTTTACAAGTATTGCATATCCATTCGCTAGGAAAATTATATATGCGCGACATGAACTTTTCCACATTTAGTATTGCGTTCCCGACATTTATTTTATTATTAGTAGCGTGAATTTTATGAATAAGTGCGTTTTTATTGAGTACCTGAGTTTTGTAGCTGAATGTTTAAAAAAAAAGTCCTCCGCAACAACAGCAAATATATATATATATATATATATATATATTTTATAATTTTATTTGAACAGCGATCAGAACTTATGGGTTCTATGAGCTGTTGTGATTAATATCTTACAAACTACGTTTGTTTTATTACAGATGGCAATCCAAACAGTTGTCTCTGTATGATAAATTTTTATTACAATCTTTGTAGTAGGGCTAGTATGGTGCAACAATGCCGGCTGAGGGCTATTTTCACTTGAAAACATATTGCTATTTATATTTCCAAGTGAAAATCGTTGTCACTGTTGCCTGACAACAGGCTGCTCGAAATGGGTATCGAACCCGGGACCTCTAAAACAAGACCCGTCGCTCTTAACCGCTTACCTACGAGCGAACCCAACAGCAAATATAGGAAGGAGTTTCTGCTCCAAAACTCTTTGAACTTTAATTGCAGCTGAGTAACACCTCCTCATTATTAATTTGGCTAAAATCAATTGGTCGAATTTGTTCAACTTCGGAATATGTTAGTGAATTAGGAACAGAGTTATCATCGTTATGAGTGGTTGGTTTAGTTAATTCATCTTCGACAAGATCTTCTGCACGTTATATTTTAGATATAAGGGTGCCGTTATTAAATATTTCAATGCATCATCACATAATGGATAAATGGATCACAATTTTCATCATTCGATAATCGATTATATTATTTTCTCGATACTTAATTAAATCTATTTCCCTATTTTTCATTTTAGTTTCGGCATTATTCTTTAATTTATTTTCATACGTGACTTTATTGGTACGTATCCTCCTAACTCGATTGATATTTTTAAATTTTTCAATTTTACTATAGTGCGAGATATTACGATTTATTCTCATGCTCTTGATGTTTTTAACGTTCTCGCTTGATTTATGCCAACTATTTAGTCGTAATAATTTATTTCGTAAAATATTATCTTTGCGCTCTTTCGATTTATACCTATCATCTTGACGAAGTTCTCTATTACGTTCAATATGTTTATTACTTCCTAATTGGTTAAATGCATCATCCTGACGGAGTGTCCTAATACGATGAATATTTTTAATTCTTTCTAATTGCTTATATGCATCATCTTGACGGAGTTGTCTATTACGTTCAATATTTTTATTACTTTCTAATTGCTTATATGCATCATCTTGTAAATATCTAACGTTCAATATTTTTATTACTTTCTAATTGCTTATATGCATCATCTTGACGGAGTTGTCTATTACGTTCAATATTTTTATTACTTTCTAGTTGCTTATATGCACCATCCTGACGGAGTTCTCTATTACGTTCAATATTTTTATTGCTTTTTAATTGCTTAAATGCATCATCCTGACGTGGTGTTCTAATACGATCAATATTTTTAATACTTTGCTTATATGCATCATCTTGACGGAGTTCTCTCTTACTTTCAATATTTTTATTAGTTTGTAATTGCTTATATGCATCATCTTGTAAATCTCTAACGTTTAATATTTTTAATACTTTCTAATTGCTTATATGCTTCATCCTGACGGAGTTCTCTATTACGTTCAATATTTTTATTACTTTCTAGTTGCTTATATGCACCATCCTGACGGAGTTCTCTATTACGTTCAATATTTTTATTACTTTTTAATTGCTTAAATGCATCATCCTGACGGAGTGTTCTAATACGATCAATATTTTTAATACTTTGCTTATATGCATCATCTTGACGGAGTTCTCTCTTACTTTCAATATTTTTATTAGTTTGTAATTGCTTATATGCATCATCTTGTAAATCTCTAACGTTCAATATTTTTAACTTCCCGTAGGGTAAGTTATTGTAATGGGCCGAAAATCGGAATTGAAAATTTTTACATTTCTCGACGTTTTGAAGGTTTCTGAACATTTTGGCATACCTCAGAAAAAATGGATGTGTGTGTGTGTGTGTGTGTGTGTGTGTGTGTGTGTGTGTATGTATGTGTGGATACAAATTTCCAGTCACGTTTTAGGGCGCACGGATCAACCGATTTGAATGGTTCAAAAAACATTCGATTCCTATTGATTGGGAAAAGAGCTGATTAGTTTTTGACAAAGGCAGATCCAGCCGTTTCGGAGATACGGAGCAAAGAGTGCAGAAAATAGAAATCGAATTTTTGAGCGAACGGAGTATCCGATTTGAATGATCTAAAAAACATTCAATTAGTAATGATTGGGAGAAGTGTTTATTAGTTTTTGGCAAAGGCAGGCCCAGCCATTTCGAAGATACGGAGCTAAATATGTAAAAAATGGCAGTTTTTGAGAGAACTAAGCGTCCGATTTAAATGATTCAAAGAACTTTCTGCTTGTCTTAACAAAATAATTGATTTTGGAAAAAAAAATTTTGTTCCAATATTTTTTTTTTTTTTTTTTTTTTTTTTTTTTTTTTTAGTATTTTGTATATCGAAAATATTTCAGATTTTATTTTTAATTCTGACTATAGTTCTAATATACTTTAGAAATAATTTCAACTCTGCAATTCGGTTTATATAATTCTTATAAATATTAAACAATGTTACTATATTTATAATAATCTATTTGAAAACATTCAATATTCCTCGAACATTTCGTTACGGTGCGGGAAGTTCCAGCAATTTGCCTCAAGGCACGATGCCATAATTGCCTCAAGACAGAATTCCACTTACAGCTAGTTAATACTTTCTAATTGCTTATATGCTTCATCCTGACGGAGTTCTCTATTACGTTCAATATTTTTATTACTTTCTAATTGCTTATATGCATCATCCTGACGGAGTGTTCTAATACGATCAATATTTTTAATACTTTGCTTATATGCATCATCTTGACGGAGTTCTCTGTTACTTTCAATATTTTTATTAGTTTGTAATTGCTTATATGCATCATCTTGTAAATCTCTAACGTTCAATATTTTTAATACTTTCTAATTGCTTATATGCTTTATCCTGACGGAGTTCTCTGTTACGTTCAATATTTTTATTACTTTCTAATTGCTTATATGCATCATCTTGACGGAGTTCTCTATTACGTTCAATATTTTTATTACTTTCTAATTGCTTATATGCATCATCTTGTAAATATCTAACGTTCAATATTTTTATTACTTTCTAATTGCTTATATGCATCATCTTGACGGAGTTGTCTATTACGTTCAATATTTTTATTACTTTCTAGTTGCTTATATGCACCATCCTGACGGAGTTCTCTATTACGTTCAATATTTTTATTACTTTTTAATTGCTTAAATGCATCATCCTGACGGAGAGTTCTAATACGATCAATATTTTTAATACTTTGCTTATATGCATCATCTTGACGGAGTTCTCTCTTACTTTCAATATTTTTATTAGTTTGTAATTGCTTATATGCATCATCTTATAAATCTCTAACGTTCAATATTTTTAATACTTTCTAATTGCTTATATGCTTCATCCTGACGGAGTTCTCTATTACGTTCAATATTTTTATTACTTTCTAATTGCTTATATGCATCATCTTGACGGAGTTCTCTATTACGTTCAATATTTTTATTACTTTCTAATTGCTTATAGGCATCATCTTGACGGAGTTCTCTATCACGTTCAATATTTTTATTACTTTCTAATTGCTTATATGCATCATCTTGTAAATCTCTAACGTTCAATATTTTTAATACTTTCTAATTGCTTATATGCTTCATCCTGAACGGAGTTCTCTATTACGTTCAATATTTTTATTACTTTCCAATTGCTTATATGCATCATCTTGGCGTAGTTCTCTATCACGTTCAATATTTTTATTACTTTCTAATTGCTTATATGCATAATCTTGTAAATCTCTAACGTTCAATATTTTTATTACTTTCTAATTGCTTATATGCATCATCTTGACGCAGTTGTCTATTACGTTCAATATTTTTATTACTTTCTAATTGCTTAAATGCATCATCTTTACGGAGTGTTCTAACACGATCAATATTTTTAATATCGTAACTCATTTATTCTTCGTTCTCGAAAAACGTTATCCTTACGTCTTCGTAACATGTATTCATTCTCAAACCCTCATTTGTTCTATATTTCTGCATACGAATTTTATTTGCCTTTTTTCATTATTTTTATAGTTTTTATCATTTTTTCTCTTTGTAGCCATTCGTTCCCTATTTTGTTCATTTTCCACTCGGACGAAATTTTTATCAGCATGTCTTAGATAACATGAGTATTCTATTTCTTCCCCTTGAAGACTATCGCTACGTAATCGCTCCATTCTTGATTTGACACCTTCAGCTTCTAATTGTCTGTATTCCGCAATTTCTTGCTCTGTTTATATTTAACGTTTTTTTTCTGTTTATTTCAAAATTGTAGAACCACTAATGATGACGTAGAATTTTACATCGAAACGTATGGAGAAACTAGTGGGGCGCATGGCATCGTGCCTTAAGGCAAATTGCTAGACCTTTCCGTACCAAAAATTATTATTTTTTTTAAAAACGATTAACATTTTTGAAAAAAATTTACTTCAAATAAATTAAATTTTTGAGAAATAAAAAATTACTTTTTTTGAAAAAAGTTTTTTTTAAAAAAAAAAATGTTTTCTTTATTTTAACATATTTTGGAATTTCTGAACTTTTTTACAAAGCAATCGTACTGCTTTAACTGCATAGAGACGAAATGTCAAAGCGCGTAAGCGCCGCGTCAAAACGGATGAACATTGGTACGGAACCCATAGGAATGTAAACAAAATTTATACTTATTGTTAAAATCTCTATAAAATATCTGATAATTTGATGTGCATATGTCTAATGATCAATTTTGACCGCCAAATGGCATTTTTTACTTTTTTTATTAGATCTCTGAAACCGCTAGACCTGCCTTCATGATCAATTCTTCATCTTGTCAATGCAAGTAAAATGTTTTTTGAATTATTAAAATCAGACGCTCCGTTCTCTTAAAAACTGAGTCACCGTTTTTGGCACTTTTTGCCCCATATATTCGGAACGGCTAGACCTGCCTTCGCCAAAAACTAATCAGCACGTCTCCTTATCAATACGAACCGAATGTTTTTTGAATTATTCAAATCGGTTGATCGGTGTTCCCAAAATTGTCGACGAAAATTTGTATCTTCACACACACACACACACATACACATCAATTTTTTCTAAGGTATGCCAAGTATTCAGAAACCTTTGAAACGAAAGATATATAAACATTTTCATTTTCGATTTTTTTGCGATTATTATGACTTGTCAGGAGATTATTACTTCGTAACAAAGCATGTTAGTGAAAAAATAAATGAGTATGAATTATACTTCAAAAAAAATTAAACGAACAATAATAAATTCGAACATCATATCTTGCAGAAGAACAATAATTAATTAGTACACTCCTAAAATCAATACTTCAATTATAGATATATCACAGCAACATTTACAGCAATATAAAACTGTAATTATATATCAAAAACTTACAAATGCTTTTATCAGAAGCGCGATTCTCGTTTCAAAACTGTACTGTATGCAATTTTTAAATCTATAATGTTCGAGTTTTATGAGAGTAAAAATTAAAATTCTTAAGTGAAATGCAATTTTTGAGGAGGCGACAAATCATGTACCCAAAATGTTAAATTATACATTTTTATATAAAAGAAAATGAAAAATTGTATGGAAAACACAACCTGAAATATATTAACTAGTAAAATTTATTCAAATATTAAATTTAAATAATATTGTATATTGCATTTCGATTTGATAGTTTTGCATGGCAGTCCACCATATAAAAAACATAACTTGAGTTGTTTTAGTAAATCGAGAAAATGGTTTGCGAGTGACAAATGTTTTGCTCGTTTAAATAGTTTAATTTTATGTTCTACTATATAAACGTATTGATTTTTATTTGTGCATGAGTTTCTTGTTGAGCGAAAATAAATCTAAGAATGTGTCCTTCAATTAGTTCAAGTACAATTTGCCAAAGTGTTCAAATTATGTATTGTATTATTAATCGTAAAGTGTCGGTAGTTTTCTCGAATTAAAATTTTATTTCGAGATGTGTTGTGGTCTTTGAATATATAAAATTGTTAAAAAGCATGGGATTTGAAACAAAATTTTATTTGTTGAATGCAAACAAATTTGAAAATAATATTACTAACAGCAGGTGTTATGCTGCAACCAGAGGCGGTTCCAGCTTCGGCGTCAGGGGGGGGGTCATAATTGAAAAGTTTTTATAGTCCTCCATGAGTATATAACAAATATATATATACACACACACACACACATATATATATATATATATATATATATATATATATATATATATAAAGCAAAAGGTTTTTCTTCAGATGGTGAAATAATATGATAAAATTGTTTCTTGGGCATCCATCCAATAATTAAAAAACAGTTTTATTGAAAAATGTTTTTATTAAGGGAACATACGTTTCGGGTCCTGATTTGACCCATCTTCAGTGCATACAAATAAATTTTGAAAAACAACACAGAAACACAAAATTGCACGAAAAAATAAATAAATGTGAAATAAAAAATTTAAAAAAATGTAAAATTAAAATAAATGATATATTTTATTATAAAAAAGCTTATTCCAAACGAACATGTCGTTAGTTTGGAAATTTTAAATTGCTTTTTTATAATAAAATATATCATTTATTTTAATTTTACATTTTTTAAAATTTTTTATAACTAGACGTTTCATCAATTTTTTATTTCACATTTATTTATTTTTTCGTGCAATTTTGTGTTTGTGTTGTTTTTCAAAATTTATTTGTATGCACTGAAGATGGGTCAAATCAGGACCCGAAACGTATGTTCCCTTAATAAAAACATTTTTCAATAAAACTGTTTTTTAATTATTGGATGGATGCCCAAGAAACAATTTTATCATATATATATATATATATATATATATATTAACAAAGTCTAATAATCGGGCATAACATCAATAAAAAACATGAATTTCTTTCAAAAATTTATTTTAAATCCATACGTTTCGGCTATAATCCTAGCCTTCATTCAGTGGAAACTAAAATTAAAATTAAAAACTAAAACAATTGAATTGGAGTGAAAAGAAAAATAAAATAGTAATTAGTACTTACAATTAGTTGATCTTAGTGTTAATTTGGAAAACTTTAATAATCCATGGTATTAGGATATGGTAATGCACTACACTATGTATTATAAACATTAACTTGAAATTACACAATATTTTCACAAAATACTGATTTGAAAAAATCACAAATGGATAGTGTGTTATTCGTAGACTGGTTGAAGATGTAATGGAGAAAGACATTTTTTTAAAAAATATTTTTACCAAGATTCTGCACATGTGTGGAACGAATTGTAAAACCTTTGCGCGAACGCTTTTATTGTTTTGTAAGAAATTTGGAAATGTTATCTAAATAGAAGAGAATAGAGAAAGATCTTCTATTTAGATAACATTTCCAAATTTCTTACAAAACAATAAAAGCGTTCGCGCAAAGGTTTTACAATTCGTTCCACACATGTGCAGAATCTTGGTAAAAATATTTTTTAAAAAAATGTCTTTCTCCATTACATCTTCAACCAGTCTACGAATAACACACTATCCATTTGTGATTTTTTCAAATCAGTATTTTGTGAAAATATTGTGTAATTTCAAGTTAATGTTTATAATACATAGTGTAGTGCATTACCATATCCTAATACCATGGATTATTAAAGTTTTCCAAATTAACACTAAGATCAACTAATTGTAAGTACTAATTACTATTTTATTTTTCTTTTCACTCCAATTCAATTGTTTTAGTTTTTAATTTTAATTTTAGTTTCCACTGAATGAAGGCTAGGATTATAGCCGAAACGTATGGATTTAAAATAAATTTTTGAAAGAAATTCATGTTTTTTATTGATGTTATGCCCGATTATTAGACTTTGTTAATATATATATATATATATATATATATATATATATAAACGTTTAATGGAATAAATAATTTTGTTATTTAATTTTTTTTTTAATTCGACGGTTGGGCTGCAAAAATATTACGAATATGTACCAACGTCGACAAAACTATCATCAATATATATATACACCATAAATATAATATATATATATATAATTTCAAATCAGTATTTTGTGAAAATATTGTGTAATTTCAAGTTAATGTTTATAATACATAGTGTAGTGCATTACCATATCCTAATACCATGGATTATTAAAATTTTCCAATTTAACACTAAGATCAACTAATTGTAAGTACTAATTACTATTTTATTTTTTTCTTTTCACTCCAATTCAATTGTTTTAGTTTTTAATTTTATTTTTAGTTTCCACTGAATGAAGGCTAGGATTATAGCCGAAACGTATGGATTTAAAATAATTTTTTTTTAAAGAAATTCATGTTTTTTATTGATGTTATGCCCGATTATTAGACTTTGTTAATACATTTGTCAACATCAAATTCAGAATCATACAAAATATATATATATATATATATATATGTTTAATTTGAGTTTAATAATCGGGCGTAACATCAATAAAAATAGTATGAGTTTTTTTTAAAAATTTATTTATTTAAAATCCATACGTTTCGGCTAGCATCTTAGCCATCATTCAGTGGTAATCAAGTTAAAATTTTGTATCCTAATATAGCATATGAAACCATTATTAATCCATGGTATGAGTATGTGCACATTGATAAGATATATATTTTTTAACACAAACATCACAAATGGTAAAACACACTAATAATCATGATAACTTAACAAGTTGTCAAAACTATGTATTTACTCTTTGGAGTTTAGGAGTTTTCTATCCTAAGAGAGGAGACTCAGGCAACATGAATTACAATGTGAAAAAATAGATAACAAAAAATTTAAAAGTACACTTGTGGATCATGCTAATATCAACAACCATAAGTTTGATTTTGACAATCCCCAAATTTTATTCCATGAGAAAGACTTATTTAAACGGAGCATGGCAGAATCAATGTTAATAGTTCGGACTAACAATAGCA